TTCCAAACTTGTTTAATCAAAATATTCACAAAATATCCACATGGTTAGGGCTGGGGAGATGGCTCAGTAGATTAAGCACTTCCCTGGCAAGCACAAGGGCCTGAGTTCAATCCCCTATTCTGCCAAAAAAATAAAAATAAAATAATAACAATTTTAAAAAATCCACTGGTGGGCCAGCCAAATAGCTCAGCGGATTAAAGTGCCTGGGTAGGCAAACACAGCAGCTGGGGTTCGATCCGCGGGCTGCCGTGCCGGCCCCGCCCCTGGGGCACGGTGAGATGGCAATTGAGACTGGGCGTGGTGGCGCGCGCCTGTAATCACAGCTCCTTGGGAGGCTGAACACAGGCAGACCACTACGACCCTCTAGGCCCTTACTAACATACAAAAAAGAAAAAAGAAAGAAAGAAAAATCCACTGGTGTTGCCATAGATGCAGTGAAGCATACAATGAATGTGCTTACTTATTAAGGATCTGTATCTATTATCTTTATATTGTGTACTATAATGTTGATTGTGTGTTATTTTTATAATAGCTTTGAGGTATAATACATGTCATACAATTCTTCCATGTAAAGTGTGCAATTTAAAATATAAAGTGTGCAATTAATGGTTTTTAATACATTCAGAGTTGTGCAAGTATCGCCACTATTCATCTCAGTGTATTTTTAGCAGCTCAAAAAGAGAACACAGCTTACCTGTTACACTGCCCCAATCCCTTCCATTATGCTGCTGCTATCTCCTGAGAGTTACCTATTTTAAATATTTAATATAAATGGAATAATAACACATGTGGTCTTTTAATGCTAACTTCTTTCACTTAACATAATATTTTGAAAGTTCGCCCATATTGTAGCTCCTTTGTTTGTTTTTGTTCTGTTTTGAGACAGGGTCTCACTATGTATTCAAGCTGAACTTGAACTCACTAGTAGCCCAGGTTGGCCTTGAACTCACAGTGATCCTCTTTCCTCAGCTTCCCAGGTACCGAGATTGCAGATGTGTCCCACCATGCCTGACTATTTTGTTCCTTTTTATGGTCAAATAGTATTGCACTTAAAAGTAGTCGCTTATATAGTAAAATTTCACTGTAAAGCTTTTTTTTTCCATTTTATGTTTAAAAGATAGAGATAATATTTGTGACACTTTTTTTTAACCTTTAAAAGTATTAGTACATTTCATGAATTCTCTAGGTATATACATCTAACTTTAATGATATCCCAACAGCATAGCAACATAGTCACTGGTTATATTGAGGACTATTTGTCTAAATTTTTTTTGTCTTTTTGAGACAGGGTTTCACTGTGCAGTTCAGGCTGCCTTTGAACTCTTCGTATAGCCCAGGCTGTCCTTGAACTCATAGCAATCCTGCCTCAGCCTCCTGAGTGCTGGGATGACAGGGGTATGCCACAGTGCCCAACTATTTGTCTAAATGGTAAACAATAAAATAGCTATTTTATACCATAGGCAACTCCCCCATACACACATACCAAATGGACTGAGGGGATAACTTTCTTTATTACTATACATCTCTGATATACAGTAATTATATTCACTTTGGAGAATTGGTACATATGCATAAATATCGCCTCTTAATGGTAGAGAACTTTTCTTTTAAAGCTCTCTTACATTCAGTTTTACTTCTGAGCAGCTTGTGTGATGCCAGGATTCTGATGCAATGCCTGGCCTTTATTTCCACAGTCAATACTGTAACGTACCCAAGAGTCCACAAGGCCCTGAAAGCCAAATAATATACTTGTAAAGAGCAAAGGGAGCACAGACAGGTAAAACACAGCCTTTGTAATTGGTGAGCAGCCAGGTACCTATTTTTGTCTCTCAGTTGCCGTCTAGACTCTCCCTTTCAGAGGCACACATAGCGCTTTCATAGCCCTTGATCTACCAAGAATCATTGTTTCTTTCCCTATAGATATTTGTTCATTGTCGTGGATTCTTTGTTACATCACCCAAGGTACCCTCAGGAACTGAAGCACATTAACCCTCCCTCCCCATTCTTAGAAAGTTTTTGGACATCACTTATTGGCAACTCACTTGAGACCTGCTTTGTCACCTTATCCTGGTCATACTCCCAGTCAGAGGAAGGCTGCACACAGTGACTAGCTGGCCGGCTCAGATAAAAAGTTCTGGCTCCCTGCACCAGTTCAGACAGGGCTAAGCCCTTCCATCTGCAGAACATCCAGCAGGGTCAGCTGAGGCCATAATTAACACTCCCTCGCCGTCTGACTTACTAACCCACCCAGTCCTGCTTACTTTTCTTCCTCCTACTGGTATTGATCCAAAAGCACTCCCTAATAAACCTCCTACATCTCAATCTCTGTCTGGGAGTCTGCTTTCCAAAAAGCCCAACCTGCTCCAATTATGGAGCGCTTTAACGCCATGGTAATTAGAGGCTGAGCACTTAACACGTGAAAAAAAAAAAGTACTAGGAGGAAACACTGGCAGTGCAGCCAATGAACTCTACTAGGTGATTCAGCCAGTGAGCTTTACTAATCATGGGGAAATATGGGCACCCTTCACTCTTCGATGAAGACATCTCAGCCTTTTACCAAGTCTCACTTTTGATGTTACTGTAAACCGTGCATGCCATGTATTTATCCCAGAAGACCCATAATTCTTACTCCAAACTTTATGAATTCAAGGCTCAAGATACTCAGAGGATTCTAAACTGAGTTTTGTCTGGGTTGTAGATCTTTCAGACTGAATTTTATAGCAGTCAGGTTTCCCAAGACTCTAAATGTGTGTCTCTGAGAAACAGAATCTCACCACTTGTTCAGCTGAAAGTCAGTGTGAGTTGAGATGTAGCACTTGTGGGTTAGGGAGACAGCTCAGTGGTCTAAATGCCTGCCCTGCAAGCACAAGGACCTGGGTTTGATCCCTAGTACTACATGCCATGCTGGCTGTGTAGCGAGACCCTGTATCAAATAAATAAACAAACCAAGCAGTGCTTGTCTGCCTATCTCAGAAAACCTTCACTATTACCGTTGTTCTTCCTCATAAGGCTAGAAGCATCCAGGGGAGACACCCAAGAGGAAGTACGGTCTGGGTCAGAAAGGTTTATCCCAAAAAGAAAAGCAAGAAAAAAGAAAAAAAAAAAAAAATTGGAAAAAAAAAAAAAAAGAAAGAAAACCAAGGGAAAAAAAAAAAAAAAAGAAAGCTTTATCCAACCATGAAATTGCACAGGCAGATTAGAGACACAGATCATTAGTGCCCAGGCTGTAGCTAAAATAGTTTCAGCCATCAATCCAAAGGTGAGACAAGGAAGGAGACAGAAAAAACAGGGAGTGAGGCTAAAAAAGAAAGAAAGAAGACACTCAATAGGATTAGGCATTTGGTGCCATTGAAGGGCATTGATCAGAAAGAAGCCTGGGAACTGGAACCAACTGATGGAGGGTCCCTTTTCAGGTCTCCTGGTAAGCACAAAAAGCATTAGTGTGGCAACTTTGCATCTGTCTGGGACATTCAACCTTCATTTCCTTTGCTTTGTATCCCTCTCCTCAAGAATCTCACTCACTGAAAATGACAGTAGGGACAGGCAAGTGGAAAATGTGTTGGCAAAGAGAAGCTCACTCACCCTTGAGTGTGTGATGTACCACATGCACGCTGATTTTTCCCTTATTTCCCAACACTGGGAGAACCGTGGCTCTCCCACACACAGCGTGCCACAATCACAACAGGCACCACTTGACTCGGGTAGGTGTAAGGTACCAGGAAATAGGTTATGGGAAAACCATTGCTCTCCTGCTCCCCCGGAAGCAGCAGCTATACCCAAAACTCCTGCAGAGTGCACCTTCAGGTCTGTATTATTTTAACCTAGGATGGGACTCATAGTTTGGAAAAAAAGGAAAGCAAAATTCCATTAGTCCAGATCATCTTCATTTGTAGCGTCCCCAATGAGATCACGACTGGGGTGCCCAATGTGTGCCTCACCAGAAGGAAAGGCTGATGACCAAGGTTGATGACTGATAACAGGCTTGTGGGCTTGTTTGGTTTCTTGGTGTTTTAACTTGTGTCAGATTTAGAGAGGGACTTTGAGTCCTAATTTTGAGGCAGCACAAGTGATTCACAAATATCTTAAGATGTGGCTAACGTCTTCAGCATAAATTTGTGCTTCCTTTTTTCTCTTCTATTTTTAAACATCATTGTTAAGTAAATAAGAGATTTTAAAAATTGGATATCATGTTTGGTAATGGAAAAAGCCCCCAAATATGCCAGTATATGGTAATTTCTTTCAGATTTCTCTTCTTAGAATTATGGGGGAGGAGTTGTTCTGTTTTGTTTTCTTTGGTTGCTTCTTCCTTTGTTTGTTGAGACAGGGTCTCCCTCCCTGTGTAGTTTAGACTGGACTTGAATTTACTATTAGTTCAGGCTGGCCTCGAACACATGGTAATCCTCCTGCCTCCTGAGTGCTGAGTTTACAGGCATGCACATTCATGCCCAACCTTTTCTAAGAATTGTGAATTTCCAAAAGTGTGAGTTTTGTTGGACTATGACTTCTAAAGTCAGGGTTTAATCCTTTCCAAAGTGCCAGCCACAGAGCCAATGCTTCATGGCATTCATCTAAAGAAAATATAAAGGTAAACACACCTATAATCTCAGCACCTGAGGAACTGAGACAAGTTTGAGTCCCACCTGGGCAAATTAATAAGACTCTGTTTCAAAATTTAAAAGAAACATAAAGGACTGGATGTGTGACCCAGCACAAGCCCCTGAGTTCAATGCTCAAGATTAGGGGACAAAAAGATAAACTAAAAACAAGAAAATAAACGTCTGCCTGCATGCTCTGTGACCCTGAGCAATGGCTTCCATTCTCTGAGCCTCTGAGTTCTTACTGAAATAGATGAGATTGCAATCTGGAACTCAAGAATTACATGGCATTATTTATATGCCAAGCTCTGCCCCTAGCTGCCTGGAATTTTTATTATTTATGTGTGGCTGGCTCCTCCTCCTCTGTCAATCCTTTGATTAAAGAGCTTGCTTCCCTCTCTAAAGGCTTCTGAAGTGTGAGCAACACCTCCTGACTCCTGCCAGAATCGGCTCTGCCCAGCATGAGAGCTGCCCTGTGCGGTGGCACCCGGGCCAGCCTCAGCCTCGGCCTCCTGCTTCTGCTTGGCCTCTGGCCCGACAGAGGTGTGCAAGCCAAGGAGCTGAAGTTTGTGACAGTGGTGAGTGTGCACTTTCCTCCTTGCTTTTCGTAGGAGACTGATACCAGCAGGGCCTGAAAAGCCAAATACTGGATTTCATTTTCCCCTTCTGTTGTCTCCCAGAGACCGAGCTAGTAAAACTCAGAAAGCAAGTAATCAAGTTTGGCAAGTTCCTCTTAAGACAAGGCATACACCCTAACAAAAGTTGTGC